GGCTCGGTTAGTCGGTATTTAGAGCACTTAAACTTTAAATTGTTTTCGCGCGAGAATAGTACGTGGTAGTGGCTGCAGTGAAAACATTTGAGCGAAAACGTAAGTTGGTGACGTCAGGTGACGTTCTGAAATTCAGAAAGAGATTTCGAGTGATTATTCGCTTTCTATCGTTTGACCAAACTGGACACGAGTCACTTGATCCGTCGGTACCGAACAGATCCGAAGGCAAACCGCAGTAGTAACGTTGTTAACAGCGCGCGCGCGCGCGGCACCGAGTGGATTAATCGAGCGTATTACACGTTTACACGGACGCAATCGGCATGCACGTATAGCCAGGCAAACCGTCGGCAAACGCGGCGATCTCCAAGCGGACGATCGACCGCGGCCGCCGCCCTCGTACATTACGCGTATACTCCCCCCGCCCTCCCTCCGCTTGAGCACGAAAACGCGAACACGTGCATCGGAAAACCATCGGCAAATAGCGTGATTAGTGTCGTCCTGTGTACATTCTAAATCAATCGGTGAATGCGGCAAAGGTGTAAAATGCTCTGTCCGCACTCGCGTGCGGAAATCGTTTCTATATAGGCGCTTAAATTCAAGCGGTTCCAACTAAGAATATAATTACGGATATGTATAAACAAACAAACAAAAAAAAAAATTAAAACATGTTATATCATTCTTTGGAATATTCGAATTTTATTTATCTTTTAAATTTTTCCGAGATTTCCTCACCTTTACGTTAACTCGATGATAGAGACCGCCCGACGCACAAGCACGTGAGTGTAAATAAACATAAACGTTATCTTCGCCGCGTTAATTGTACTAAAACGCATCCGATGCATCCGCGCGCGCCCGGCAGTATTTCCCGTCAAATCGTAAAATGGCGCCGGGAGCGACAATGCTCCAGTGATTTATTTCTGTAATTTAACTAACTCGTCTGGTCCCGCCGCGACCTCCGTCGCCTCGCCTCGCGCCGGGCCGCGCCGCGCCGCGCGCCACGTCGCATCCGCGTTCTGGAGAACGCACGGAGTTCGCGACGCGCACCGGTGCATATTAAAGCTGGGCGCGGCGCGAATTAAAACTGTATTTTACAACCGACGCTCCCGTGTCGAAAGCGCCGTTAAACGCGCCTCCGCTCGCATGAGCGATTCGCCCGTTTTTACGATCGTCCGTGTTACCGCGCTCGCAGCCCCCGTCCGCGAGCCCCCATCCCCCGCTGTATGTATCCATTGCACCGTACTTTTTTCTCTTTTTCTCTATCTCTTTTTTCCGCAGGGAACTAATCATTACATACATACACACAGAAGCCCTCAATAAATAGGTGATCTCTACAAATGAGATATTCTTTAATTATCGCGCTATTAAATCGAAGTCTCGCACTTTTTCGCGGATTCGCAACGCGTTTTTCCAACTGGCATTTATATATATATATATATACAGCCTCGCATCGGCTGCATTCGTGACTTGCTAAATTTGCGCCGGGATCGTGAAACGGTTTATCGGCGTTTGCGGCGGTATCGACGTCGGAAATGCGCGGCGGGTGCCGATCGATATGCATACATCGGAGCGGAGTGGAGAGGGCGAATGGAAATCGGGATGTGCGAATGGCCGTGAAAATTCTCCGCGATGGGATTTTACTTATCATGCGGAATTACCGTCTCGTAGTCAACGTGGCGACGGGACAGAAATTACTCCGGCGACCGATACGTACACCTATCTCCCCCCCCCCCC